ATCCATATTGTTTCTTCTCTTTTTGAAAACAAGAAAAGCAGGTAAAGCCTATTTTTTTATGCCATTTAGTTGCCCCAATGACTGCCAATTATTTCAACCAATTTTGTTCACTAGTGTGGGCTACTATAAACTGAAGGCAGATTGGAGTATCATACTTTATGAAGAGGTGTGGACCCCAAAAGAAAATACTACATTGGAATTTTTTTACCGTCAGTGAGAGGCACAGCTTGGGTCTGTGAGGCGGACAGCTTAATTCCAACATCAGCGCAGGGCAGGGTGCCACCATCTGTAGGGCTCTGTGTCAGTCCGACACACCACTCATAATGGTCTATATAGGATTCTAGATCCACAAAGCCATGCCAGGAGGCTGAGATGACCGTGCTGGAGTTCTGGTATTCTACATCATGGAGACCTGGAATGAATAAGCAGACAATAATTGGTTTCATTTTTTTTTTACACTAGAAAATGTGCCCAAATCGAGAATCTTGATGGTAGCCATCACATGCGGGAGTGAGCCCCTGCTATTAAATGAAGATACAAGACAACTTTACATCTGAATTTCTGTGTTACATTGCGAGTTGTGCAAAATTTCTTCAAGTTTTTGCTGTAATGATAACAGGTGAAATGTGGATAAGTGATGGTTATTTGAATTGGTCATTATGTTGAGGCGATGCTTACAAAAAGAAACAACACAGTCCAGTCAAATTCCAGGAATGGAACAAGGGACATCTTCCACATTGAGCACACAGGTGCGTCACTTGTTTGAACGGGTCTGATTAATCGATTCGAAACCTCACATCTATTAAAAAAAGAAAGATGCGTAGGTACGCATCCCATCAAATCTAAGTTTGAAATCATTTTTTGGGGTTATCAAGAGCAGCCATGATAGCAAAGTCAATTTCTGAAGGTTGTATTGAAATTCAGAGAGCGAACTTACCTATCCCATCAAACACCAGGCCAGGATCTGGTCCCCTGGTGTCCATCACAAAGCCGTCACTGCTTTTCAGCGTGTGCAAACCAGCTTTGTTGAATGCCCGTACGTTGCCATAGTAACGCAGTCCACTCTGCAAGTCCAGGCCGGTGAACTGGGTGGAAGACCCATCGGCTGGGAAGGTGTGGTCAGCAAACTGCCGGATGTCCTCTCCTGAAGAAAGATAAACAACGTACAGTTGCAACTTGCAAGTACACTGCAGTTAAGGCAGTTTCAAGGAGGTCCTGTTACACACAACCCACAAATGCAAGAAAGTGATGTTTGAGTCTATCAAAAGAGTTCAAAGAGGAATTTCACAGCGTAAAGGGGCTACTGCATCTGATCATCAGTTTCATATAGGACAGCCTGTATAATAAATGCAAGTATACACCCTCTCCTGGGGAGATTCATGTGTTCAAAGCTTCTCTAACGGTAATTGATGACAGTTATGGTGAGTTATGCACTGTCATCCAAGAAAGGTGCTGATGGAACATAACTGTTCATGAGTGTGTTCACCTTTCGCTGAGATGCCAAGACACAGTGCAGTGTGCTCTATCTCTTTCTGCAGATTCTTCAAGAAATTATGCCTGCTAATTTCATGTCCTTGTGTACCCACTTCCAGGAGAGGTGCTAAGGGACACCCAACAGTAAGTTTATTCATGAATCTCCTGAATAATTACTGAGCGACAACCAACACATACATGTAGCTCCTGAGTGATACCAGGTAGTGATTGTACTCACTTGCTGGATATAGTCAGGTGCTGAGCAGCGGCGTAGCTAGGATTTTATTAGTGGGGGGCACCGGCATCTTATGGGGGGTACCAGCTATCAGTGGTGTGGGTTTTGTTGGGCAAAATTTTGTTAGCCTTGTTCAATATCCATTCATCGTTTTTTATAGTGCAAGGGGGGGGCACCTGGAATTTCTGGAGGGGCACATGTCCCCCAGCCCCCTGGCTACACCCCTGGTGCTGAGCAACACCTAGCGGTGAGTGTACTCACCTCCTGAATAGTTACTGAGTGACACCTGTGAGTGTACTCACCCCCTGGATTGGTATTGAGTGACGCTGGTAGTGAGTGTACTCACCTCCTGGATAGGTACTGAGCGACACCTGGTAGTGGGACATTGCGTCATCAAGAAACACTCCCATCCAGGAAATAAAAATAACGTCAGGATTTGTCAAGTAATCTGTGTCTTTGGTAGCACTGGGAGTTGCAAGATCTTTAATCTGAAAATAAAAGACATCACACGTAAAGCACCTGATACATTAAACCTCAACCTCAAGAATTAGGGTTTGCTCAGTTACTGCTTGAGAAGCAATATCAACTGCATTATTACTATTAAACATCCCCTCTGCATCTGAGAAACACTGTGCACTTGAACTACACAGAACTCAAAAAGCATTTGAAGCCAAGAGAGTGTACCTATATTTAGGCTTAATTATTGTCAAATGACTCTCACTTTTTCTTAACAGCCATCTGCCAAAAATCTACAAGCTGCACGATCTTCTGTGGAGCATGCACTCACAGTTTAAATATCTACAACTTTAGCCTGGTTCGCTGAGGACAAGTCACTTTTACTTTGTTTTACAGCATGGTCAAACTGTATACAATTATCAATAATACACTGCTCGTATTATGGAAACAGACAGCACTAATAAAGTGGACAAAAAATAAAATGCTGTGTTTTTGTGACTTTCATCAGTTGTCAACTATAATTTCATAATCTCAACTATAAACCTGACCCAGTCATCTCACTCACCTTTGTGCCTCTGACTGTTGAGATTTTTGGTGGTGTGACATCAGGGGTGATGCCATCTGACCTGAACACAGCATAGGTATTAGCGTCATACCAGGCACGGACAAACACGTGATACTTGACTCCCTTCTGCAGCTTGTGGTCTGATAGATAAAGAGATCACATGACAGAATGATACAACAGTAGCACTGAGGTGGCATTCAACTTCCTTTTTCAAGTTCTGAAGATCAAGATCTCAATTGGAACATTGTTCATACATGCTGGGCTTGTCTCCATTTAACTCAGTCACGAGATGAAGGCGGAGGCAATTATACATTCAGATGACGAGAGAGATATCGAGGAAGAATAAAGGTGAGGACATGAAACAAGAGAAAAGAGGATGGAGGAGACAAAGGGATAGGCCACGATGAAGATTTAGGTCAAACATGAGACTGACAAGCAGAAAAAATGCAGTGGTTATTACACCTTTCACTCATTTACCGTTTTTGCTCCATTTCCTCAGTTTTTAAAAATCTAGAATCAAAATAAATACTTTTTCTACTTTTTCAGCCACGTCCTTTGCCCTTGAGAACAAGAGCAATTTTCAGCATCAGCAATCAATTTCCAATTTACTTCAGTAGATCACTCTATAGACAGTTTAACGTTTGGTTTAACAATTTCATTTTTTAAAATTTAGTCACAGAGCCAAGTGAAAAGAAGGCTCTCTTAGGTTACTCCAAATAATTATAAACACTATGGGCAACATTTCTCCATGATTTCTTTAGAGCTTGCAAGTGTTAGCCAAAGTTATGATATGATTTTGATAGCAAGTTCTTATAGTTTTGCTGTTATTTTCTACCTGTCTGTCACAGTCTCTTACCTTCGTCCAGTGTGATAATGACTTGGTTATCCTGTCCCACGTCAAACCATACTCTGTCCCTGCCTGCATCAAAGACTCCAGACGGATCTGATGAGGAGTCATCACCGATGCTCCACTCAAACCTGCAAGATATGCAGGAATAGAGCATAGGGTGAGTGGGTCACTGTCGGACATCATTGACTTTTGGCAGAATTGTTTGACCAGCTTAATAACTATAGGATGCCCCGCCCCCTATTTGCAATCTTGAAGAGACCAAAACCTTCTCTCTAAACTATATAGAGTGATAATTCACTCAAGTCAGGTGAAAATTGACCCCTTTCGATTGAAAACAAGAAAAAGACAAATTTCAGGGAAACTCTGTGTATCAAGATGTTGCTCAAATTTCCACTGGAAGAGGTTATTCTTCAAATCTTTTCAATCTGAAGTTAGGGGGGTTTTCACTCAAAAGCATCTAGTTTCTTTGTTTCACTCTTTGGAATTAAAGGAATTTACACATGACAAAGTCACGTCCACTACCCCCTTGAAAAATGTGTGGCCCCCCCAACAAAAACATTCTGCCCCAGTTGCGACACTAGAACTAGCAAATCTAAGCATTGGTAATTACTCCGGCACTAAATGTCCTGGACATTTTGCACATTTCTGCTGTGACACAGCAGGTGGAACATCAAGAATATGAACAGTTGGCATATATACCCCATACATTGTCTTCAAGAAAATCTATATGGGCACCCACAGTCAGCTAAGTGTCAATGTCATAATCGATACCAACATCATTAAAACTCACCATGTGATACCTAATCCTTTCTGTTCAGTGACTCGCCAGACTGCAGCTGCCATGAACTGAGTAGCGGTTTCATCGACGTCTGTCGTGGTGCTGACATCGTCATGCATCAGATCCAGTACGTCCAGAACTTCTATCTCGGCGTTGGGATTACCTTGAAAGCAAAGCAGCAGGTGTGCCCATAATCATGGAGGTACAGTGCAGAGTAACATGACACTACATGTTAATCATTTTCTTTGAATGTTGTTTCCCGAGTATAAACCATCATTTCTTTCTTTCCTGCAACAAAAGAAAAATCTACAGAACTGCAAAAAAAAAAGATGAGTGGGGTTGGACTAAAACAAGGCCACCTCTCACCCCATTTGGCTATTCAAGGTGTAGAGATGTGAGGGAATCACTCCACTAGAGAGAAGCCTGATTTCCACTGCCTATTTATTCCAACACCTTCCCCAGCTTCTTATCAGTTAAATCCTTTGGCCAAACAACTGCATAGTGATCCTTGAATTCACTAGTAGTTCTACATGTAATTTCGTGCACTGAAGCGTGAAGTGCCATACAAGATTAGTACAATGTACATGCTACATACAGCACTTACACTTCAAAGGATTAAAGGGAGAGTAGCTTAATCCTACTGATGCAAGATGAACAGTGTAAACAAATGGACAGGCCAAAAAGAAGGTGCTTTTTCTGAGTGCGAGCCTCCCAGAATTGGAAATTCTCCAGTGGGATGTGGACATGAATCGTAATTTTTGGAATATAAGGCGTGGCTTATACGTTGATTTTGCCCGTGAAAATGGTCGGAGCGGCTTGTAATCCGGGCGGCTTATATGCTGAGCTTTGAAGAATAAACTTGAGATTCATGTGTAGAAACACTAATTTGTTTTTGACAAAGTTTGCATCCTTCGAGAATGAAAAATCGCTCGTTCCCTGCGATCAAAACACAAAGGTGGAACCGGCCTGAAAGAATCGGGACTACCTTCAGGACCTTACCGTGAAAGATGCGGTAGTCATGTTCAATTCCACGCACGGCCGGCGGTGAGGCAGCTGAAAGTTCTTTTTGTTGGTGACCGTGCAAAGCCATAGATCTGACACTAAGAGTAGCAGGCAACCAACTACTAGTCACACAACTGGAACTGCTGACTGTAAGTATCTGTCAAACACCACGCAAATCGCTGTGGTGCGTCTGTTCGTTCTTCCTGTTGTCTTTGTTTATTGCTTGTGAAACTTTCACGTCTACCACATCTATAAGAATTTTGTCCGTCTCTATGCAACCATTTTTGTGATTTTTTAGTACCTTTTAACGCTCTCTTGGTAATCCACTTGCGGGGAGAAACATTTTTTCTGCATTTACCCAGTCGCGGGACTATTTTATCACGCAACGCTGCCATTCCGCCACCGTCACCTCTAGAGGGTGTGCGGGAGCGATGGGCGGACAAAAGATTTATCTGGGTTAAATAATAGTGTACAGGTCACACATGCCTTGTTGATTTATAATAAACAATGGAGCAACTGGCGATATTCTTACTTTGATGTACAGGCACAAGACTCAAAACGTTATTTCAGTCTTTTCTTTGAAGTTACAAAGGGCCTTTGTAAAGAAGTGTGGTCGAATGAGCCTCGCCGAACTCCGAATGCTCCCTTTACACATGAACTAGCCCCAGGCGCGGAAGGGCCCATGTTGCAACGATCTACCGACGCACATGATGGCGCACCTTATACCACAGTGCAACTTATACGCAAAGCTTTGAATCTTAATCTGAAGATTTTCGAGCCCTGCCCTTATAATCCGGGCGTCTTATATTCCAAAAATTACGGTACAGCATGGTTGCAAATGAACCATTAATTCCGCTGGCTCCCAATCTATAATGTGGCGCAGTGGGTGCTTTCCCGCACCAATTTTTCCATCTTTTTAAGGGGCATATCTTTTTCCTGTTTCTTTTTCGTGTCCTTAACTGGTTATTAAATCACATTAAAGACGGGCATTTGAATCTCGTGGATTTCCTAAATGGCCTTCTGTACAAGAAAGAGTCATTTCCCTCATATTTCTTCCTAATCGAAAGCTGCATCCTTCACAAAACTCTACTTACTTCCGGTTACATCACTGCAGGTCCTACTTGGTGCGCATCTTCGGTCGATGGGTGCGCACGCACAGTGGCCCTCACAGGTCGCTGCCGAGCAGCTTCGCAGCAGGACAAGGGAGCCCTCATTGGGTGAAGTGGGAGAGGCCTCAAATGTTGAGTGATGGCGGTTGCTTAGTAACCCAACCTTAGGAGAAAATAATATAAAACCAAAGAAGAATTGATTGCTAAACCTGTTGGCAAAATTTCCAATGCCAGGATGAAGGTGCATACTGTTGAATTTCTGTGCCAGTTGCCATTATAAAAGTACATTTTCTGCTTTGTGGTATACCATGCTCTACTTGTGTTGTATTGAAGGGAGATTAATGTACTGTTGAACCCCAGTTGGCAGTTGGCATAACACTACATTTGAAATCTGTTATGTTTTTCAGGGTTCTTCCAAATAAATAATGCTTTATCCAATAATATGCTCCATCACTTGGCTCCTCTTCGTCAAATTTTAAGAGACACGATGAGAAGATATCCCGCTGTACACTAAATACAGCCATAATTTTGTAAAGAAGAGACAAAATGATCATATCACTGATACAGACAGAGTAATCGGTGATTTGTGGGGAAATGTAGGAACCACAATCTTTTGTAGGATTTCCATTTAAACATGCTTTTAATGAAAACTTCAAATGGATAAACAGAGAGAACAGCACATGTTGCACAGGATTTCAATGGAAGCACTACACTCACCCTGTTAATGGCCCAGATGGAGATGTAAAGGTACGGAGGAGATAAGCCTGTTATACTGCCCTCTAATGATATAACAGCTGTCTGTGCGATGCCCTCGTCCAATGACATGCCGTCATTGCTGTGGTCAACACGGATTGGTCCATTCTTGGGAAATAAGAAAAAATTGTCACTTGTTCATAAATAAACGTTCATTTTCCAGTAACCAACATGACACTAGTGGAAACACAGGTAAAATTCACAGTGCTGGATTGTTTGAAAAACTCACCATTCCAATTTAAACCAACAGTTACAGTTCAGAAAACTCAGAGACACTGTAGAAATTCGTTCAGGGATTCATTTATGGATTTCATAATTTATGGGCAATTCCTCCAAAAATTTAAGTTTCGTCATTCATGTTGATGTTAACTGTGGTCATCACTTGATGATTTTAGAGAAAGTGCAAAGATACCGGAGTGAGTTCCAAGCCACCATAGGTGCGTCCGACGGAGACCAAGTAGTGACTGATACCAGAGTGCACATCGGCAAATCCCAGCCAGGCCAGGGCTAAGGAACCAGTGGAGGTGCTGGTGTCTTCCAGCCACGTCATCCAGCCGGAGTGCTGACGAGCAGGAGGTGGGGGACTACCTTGGGTTGGTTCTTGCGGATCGATCCAGACGATGCGATGACGGTTCAAGTTGGCGGCACTCTCTGTATCCACGGCAAACGTCCCGACGGAAGGTGGGCTACCGTCGACCTGAGAATGATGAATGACGCCAAGTAAATTGCAAAATATGAGTGATGACAGGGAGGTCAGAGAAAAAATTGCACTATATGGTCGTTTGAGCAGAGCCGTAGTGCACATTGGTCATGTTGGTGAGAAGCAATTATAGACCAAATCATAGGTAACACCCGAAATTTCCCAAAGTGGTGCAATGTCCCTACTGATGGAAAACATAGGAGAAATAGGGGTAGCTAGGAATGTGAACAGACATGAAGACAGTGTTGAAGGCACATGACTTCATGGATGCAACATCATGCATTCATCCAGGCACAGGTAGTGGAAGCGGGGCGACCAGGGGATATGTCACACCGGTCAACATGAGCTGTAGCTCTTATGAAAGAATGAACTTTTGGACACACATTTCTTACCAGCAGGGATTCTGTCTTGGCCTCCGTACAGAGGCCAGCGAAGTTGCAAGCCACCACAGTTATGACGTAACGACTTCCTTCGTGCAATGTCAAATTGGTGAAGGTGTGGTCCAATTCACTTCCTGCGATCTGCAAATGACAGCAGGGGACACTGGATTATGAAAGTTTTTGGAATTGAAAGCATTAGTTTCCCTTTCAGAGTTAAATTTCACACTGCACCAACCTTCCTCCGATTGTCAAAACATTACAATTTTTGTTACTGCTCTTGCTAACACTTCATTTTATTCAATGAATTCAGCCTCGGTCAACTTTTTTTCCAACAAAGTCCATCCTAGCACACTTTATCAACTTTAAAATCGTCAGGGCAAAAGTTAACCTTAATTGGAGGTATATTGATGTCTCCATTGTGGTGTGTGCTGACCGACACATACTGGTCGCTGATACCACTCTCAGGGTCATTGAACTTCCAGGAAAAGTGGAGGAGGTCACGCAGAACCTAAAAGATGAACAACAGTGTCTCACATATCAATTGAAAATGACAAATGCACTCGGAAGCTTTATTCATCATCGTGAGTCACGGACTTACTTGGTGTGACTGGTACAAATACCCATGAAATGGGAGGCACGGCCACAGCTCTTGGCGTTGATTAAAGTTTAGTTTTAGCTGAAATTGTGAAAATCTGTGCTGCGCTTGTACACAAATAAGATTCTAGTCAAGCATTATATAACAATATTTTTTACACGTGTGGAATGGTAAGAATAGTTATATTTGGTGACAGATAATGGCTCTCTTCAGCTTCAATATGTAGAAGAGACACATGTCCTATATTTGTACATTGTGCAACACAGAACTGTACTCTTTAGTATCCTTTTAAATTCTTACCTGGGTGTTTTGGACTGCCATCCCCTGCGTCTCATCAACAGCAGGTGTGTCCACCACATCAGGGGGGCTAGAATCCACGCGGAACCCATTAGATGTAGCCTCACTCCACATGCCGAGCCGGTTATAGGCACGTACGGTGATGTAGATGTCAGCGCCTACGGGCAGCTGGTCTGACGCTGGCAGGAATTTTAGAGCATCCTCTGACAGCTCAATTCGTGTAGCGGGGAGAATGTCCTCAGCTCCTGGTGTAGTGCCGGCGCGCCATTCAAAGTGGGAGAGGCTGGAGTGAGGGTCATGGAAACCCCACCAATGGGCTCGCAGCTGGAACCTAAACAGACAACCAAGGAATGCGAGAGCCATGATTACATAATATGTAAAGGGCTGGATAGCCTGTTGGTTAAACAGCAGCAGAGAAACAGAAACCAGAGGTTTGAAGCCTATTTCGATGTGCAGACCCCAGTTTTGTAGGTCCAACAAAAAACTACAACTTGTGCGATAACATCTTCTCTGTAGTTTGCACATTTTCGATTTACAATTTTTAAAAGTTTCTGTCAATGTTTCTCACCGTGAAGACTGGTAGCTTATGTCATCACTGCCAGGGCCACCATCATACACCTTCCCTGGCAATGGAGGCGAGTCATCTACCATGACGCCATCGGAAGTCACTGAGGTACACAGGCCAGCGGCATTACAGGCCGTCACCGTCACATAGTAGGTCAGACCAGGCACCAGGTTAAGGTTTTCAGCAACCACATCTGACAGCGAAGGAAACACACAGACTTATCATCTATGAAGGACAGGTTTATGGGAGCATTCTTTCACAATCTGATTTTTTACAATTTGATTTCTTACTTAATTTCTGCACTGGTCATTAGTTGGGCATTTGTGACATCATTGTTCTGACCAAAAGAAAACCAAGATTAGAGTGGGTTCATCATCCATTTAAAATGACAGAAAATTCACAGACTTTTTTCTACCAACTTCGATGCCACATGCAGCGAAACAAAATGCGAAACAGAGTGCGAAGAGAGAGCAATACATAATCTTGGTGCATACCTACATGTACCTTGTACTTTATCTCTCTCAAATGACAAAACAGTTTCTGATTCTGCATTTTTGTGAGCCACTATTGCATTGCCATCATAAACAAGTTATTAAGTTAGTAAACAATCTGAGTTTACAAGTCCCCTGACACAGGCAAAGAAGAGAGAGCCCAGAGAGGTTTGTAGGGACCATATCAAGCTCACACCTGGTGTAAACACGAAGACTGTGCATTCAAATAGAAAACTGGTTGTGTGCGATTGGAACAGCCTGTGCAAATAGCACATAAACCTGCACATGCTTTATAGCTGACTCAAGTTGACTGATTGGAAGACAGAATTTAACTTTGATACGTAGAACCAAAATCCATTTTTAAAATAACTTCAGTGTTGACGTTTGGAAATTACCAGTGTACAAGCCCACATGCTGCTCAGGCACGACATCGGAACACCCGGGACACATCCCAGCTCTCCATGAATAGCCCAGGATGGTGCTGTGCGGGTCGTGGAACCCTTCCCAGAATGCTCTCAGTTCAGTGCGATCTTCCTGGAAGTCTCGGTCTCTATGATTGGCCGGCACTCGCACCAGATCTCCGTCGAAGACGTGGCCGGCCACTGGAGGGCTTGCATCTACGGTGAAAGCTCCATAACTCCTCAGCGTGATCAGACCCACAGTATTGATGGCCTGCAAACGGCACAAAATAGGTATAGATTTCATCGGGAAAATAGTTTCCATCATTATCATTACAGTCTGAATCCCCTGCTATGTAACAAGGGCAAATCATACGAAGTGTATTGCTTACAAGTTACCTTTACAGCGATGAAATACGAGTGACCTTCTTGGAGGGGTAAAGGTTGTGAAGAGTCACTGACCACAGTCTCTTTATCCTCTCTAGTAAAAGGCATGATGTCTGCATGGCCTGAGTGTGACCCCACGGCCCACTCGTAGTATGCTACGCCACTCTCCCTGTCTGAGAACACATTCTCCCAACTGAAAAACAAAATGACCAAGAAATTCACCTGGATGTAAATAATGTTCAATAATTTATGCAAATGTTGAAATACTTTCGAACTTTGAAATTAACTCTGTTAGTGTCCATCTCTTCAAACTGAGGCTGCATCCGAATCTCTTGTCTAGAGCTAGGTCTAGGTCTTTGCTCCATTGGAGATGCGTGGAGATGCGTAGACAATAGACCTAGCCGTAGCTCTGGAAGCCCGTTTCGGATACAGCCTGACTTAAGGTTTGTACGATTTACGATTTACAGGCACCTGCTAAAATAAACTTTTACTTCTCCAATATCTGCGCATGAGGTCAAAATGGAGTAATGACAAAGCTGAGGAAGAACTGAACAGCACAGGCCTGGTTAGGAGGAACAAAGTGGGTTGGGCATTTCCACAATGTGTCTGAAAGCTTGTTTAATTGTGGATTTCACTGTCTGACAGTGTACCTTGCCGAGATGGAAGTTGTCGACCGGATGAAGCTGCCACCAATGTCCAACGTGTGATCCTCACTGACAACAGGAGGAGATGTGTCAATGACTATTGAATCTGACATCGCTTGGGAAGACAGGCCGACAAAGTCAGTTGCTGATTGGAGGAAAATGAACAATGCCAGAAACACTTGAAATGGAACGAAGCAACCCATAAATATGCTCGAGGTGTGACTTCAAATCACTTATATTGTAATCAATATCTTACCGGGCAGTCTTTATTTGATTGATCGCGATATGACCAAAACAAAAACTAGATGTAACAAGACAATAAAACACAGTCTGCCACATGATGTTAAGGCATCATTTCAAACTTCTTATCGGTCGACTATAGGACAGGGCCATCCAACCCATAACAGTGACTTGTGTTGAGTGATTAATAGAGGGGTGTTGCTCCACTGAAACCACATAGCCTTGGGAGTAATGCAATGTAAAGGCATTTATCAGTAACAATTTGCCGCTTGAGAACACTTCACCTGATAGCCAAATGATAATCAATGTATCGGTTGGGCTATTCTGTCTGACACCTACCTGATAAGAATTTGATATAGTGCCTAAATACCAACACTTCAGACTCAAGTTGCCTTTTTTTTACAATCAGACTTGGTGTGAATGGCTCAGATGGATAAGCAGCAAATAAATATATTGATCTAGTCACAATCTACCACAGAAAAGTTGAGAAACCCTTTTGTGACCCATATCTTTACCTTTCACTGTGGCATAGTACTTGTGTCCATTCTGTAACCTCAGCTTGTGTGCGATGACACCGTTGGTGATCCCAACTCGAGTGAACCCCTTTACGTCACTGCCACCCCACATCGAACCTGCCATTAAAGAGTTTCCACACACTTCAAGGACTTGCTGACCAAAGCCTTTTGCGAGTTAAATTTGAATAAAATTGAGTACACGGAATTATCTGATTGCACATAAACACAATCTGAATTCCCTAGGCTAAAGACACTGTTGCTATACCTCAATAATTCGTGGCAAGCTTTTGCATGGTAACCACCATCTCTGGTTCCTTTAGTTCCTTTGCGCCCTTCTCATCCATTGAAAACAGTGACTGGGTGCAAGGTGTCTTTTATGTAACTAAGAAAAAGCTTGCCCCGAATCACGAGGTACAGCGACAGTCTTTAGTATGGAGAATACTAATGGTTATGTTCATGTGACTATAAAGAACTCCATGTACCAGATTTTATTCAAATCTAACTCGCAAAAGGCTTACCAAAGGGACCTCATGGCCGTGTGTAATAGCACGCCAGCCTTGCACTCTGGTGCAGAGTGGATGGTGGAGGCTCCGTGCTGACTTCTGAACTTAACGACTAAATGGCAATTTTTGCCGACAAGTAACACCCGCAATATACTCCCATCATTACTGAGGGCCTCTGTGAGCGAGTATCCTGCTCTGATTGGTTCTTGTGTAGACAGCAATTCTGGGGCTCAGTATGACGTTGATTGACGAGCAAATGAAAAACTCTTCCTACCAATGGCACATTCATAGTATTTGATTCCAGAGCGCTGACGTGTCCAGGCAAAGCCATGTTCCTCAATGTCAGTGAATGACTCCCAGAGTAGTGCCAACTCAGACACAGAACTCTACATCATGAATGGACAAGTGCTTACCAATGGCATATTCATAGTACTTGATTCCAGAGTGATGACGGGCGAAGCCGTGTTCCTCTATGTCAGTGAACGACTCCCAGTGTAGTGCCAACTCAGACACAGAACTCTACATCATGAATGGACAAGTGCTTACCAATGGCATATTCATAGTACTTGATTCCAGAGTGATGACGGGCGAAGCCGTGTTCCTCTATGTCAGTGAACGACTCCCAGTGGAGCACCAACTCAGAGACGGAACTCTGTCAACACGAAAACAAGGCAAAAGCCAGATTCAAACTGCAAAATTTTGTCCAAATAAGTCATTTTATCCAAAGTGGATAAGCCAGTTTGGTATTTCATGCAGGATAAAGCGATGTGAGAATGTACATGTTTGGGGTGACCTTTTAGGGTGACCTTGCATTAGGTTATCAACCCACCTCCATGTGCTTAATTTTAAGTGTGTGCTACTGAAATGCTAAGCTGGATCATTTGAAAAGAACATAAGTGGAAAATATTCATTTCAGGGTCTGCTTGTTTCACACAGATCTGGTTCTCGACTCCTGGGTTCCGTTGTCCAATCAACACAGATTATTATTCCGTGTGAAACAAACAAGACACTGAATCTCACTTGATGCCAGATAGCTTAACTAAATTGATACCTGAAAGGGCTGCAAAACTAACCATTAAAAATGCGTGAAATATAAAATCCCAAAGCCAAGGCAATGTGGTACAGCAATCATGCATGTGTAGGCTTTCATGCAGCATAGCTCACAGCTCCAATAGAACAACTTGTTCAATCTAATCATGCACAGCGGTGACCGTTTTCTAACAACTGATATGTGAACCTTTCAGGAATGAAATTAAACTTTTGGGGACAAAGCTGGAAAATGATGAACCACAAATGGAAGTAATTACTTGATAGATTTGATGCTGACTCCAACCGATCCACACGGAGCCAGGTGTTGGTGGGGTTGTATCCACGACAACGCCATCGCTGCAGCTGGATACAGCCGGAAGGAGCTCCTCCCAAAGTTCATGCTTTAAAGTCACTTCATCGGCGTGGATACAAATACGATAACGCTTCCCATGTGAAAGGGCCAAATCAGGGATGTTGACAAACTCTTTATCTACAAAAATTGAAAAAACAACTTTCTAATGCTATCTTCCATGCCAATTTTGATGAATGTTGGTTCATTCTTTTTAATAACAAGTCCCATACATCATTCATGTTCAAATCTTAACAGGATCTGCATACACTGGGCACAACGGTTCATGACTATAACCTAGCTACACTGCGGCATATACTCTGAGTGGCTTATATGGCACCATGTTAAAAATAATATCAGTCATTAAACACCGTGCCGTGTCATGTCTCAACTCAGCCTAGCCCTAGCAGCTGACCGGCCCGCTGGCCAGACGTACACATGCAAGCTCTCCAGGGACAAGGCAGTCATTTTTTCGTTGGTTGTTGTTTACAGTTCACTCTACTCAGGTGTCGGAAATAAAGGACACCAGTCCAGAGGGACTCAGTAGACTTGTAAATGTACGGTAAGTACCGTTCACACCTCACAAATCGTGTGGTGCGTATGTTAATTTCTTTCTTTTATGGTTGCATAATCCATGTTGTTTATTATTTCACTGGTTATTTGGGGACTACTGAAATAAAAAAGCACAAGGAATTGCTGCATGGCCCACCCAGCATGGACACTAATAGCCTGCCAACTTAAAATTGGTAATTTCGAGGACTCGGGAAAGTTTAGGCTTGATAACAACACTGTTTGTGAGCATCTTACTCTCGAAGATTGCATACCTGGAGGTGGCACTGACCACAACACTGGGCACTTCAATTTGGGCATTTATTGGGCCTCTAACGTTAAGAGTTCACAAAAGGTAAAATTTAATCAAACTCCTAACGTAGTGATTCATAAATGACAGTTTCAATCAATCGCTAAAAAGTTCTGGTAAAATGCTATTTTGCAAGACTGAAATCTTTTAAAATGCACCCCAAAATAATGTCTTTGTTCAGTATGTGAAGTGGAAGTAATAATGACTTTATACTAGAATTTATCAAGTTTAAAGAACTTCTGCAATGTTTCTGTGGGATTTTCTGAGATTTTTACAAGGGTACCAGGTAACTCAGCTGAATTCTTGCCCAATTTCCAGACTCCAACATGTTTGAATTTTGGACGAAATTCCATAACACTGAAATTGCTCACAAAGGTTCAAAAGCCTGTAGCATGAACACAAAATATTGCCAGTATTTAACAAAATGGATTGGAAGATTTGTAATAAGAGGTTTGGCAGCACTATAAAGAAAAGTCAAGTGAACATAGAATTGCACCACATATATACTCTACATATACTAGCTATTCTGCAGTGCAGCAGGTGCGATGACTTACGTGACATCGTCAGCACCGCAGAGCGGCTTGTACCCCATATGCAAACTATAAATCTTCATTTAAAACAACTGTAAACTGAGTGTTCATCATGGTATTTGTTTCCAAATTACCTCAGGAAGTGGTGGTCGAAACAATAAAAAATTGATCATTCAAATTCATTATTCTACCTGTTCTGCCACAGGAGATAGCCCTTGGGTGATCACACGGGTACTGCAGACCCTTGTCCAAGTCTCCAAAGTCTGTCAATCCAGCGTCCTCAATGGCTGCCCAGAAGTAGTCCCTGTGGCGCAGTGTGGGCCAGACGGCTGATAAGAAGGACGTAGACGAGACGTAGTTCTTGTCTGGCTCGGGCCACATTGCATTCTGCTCAATGTTAACTTCATCTGTTATAAATGAAACAGTGCCATTAAGGGGATGTCTTGACAAAGTTGAAAGAAGCTGGCTGCAAGGTTGCAACTTCAAGAAATTAACCCCACCACAACAGGCTGTGTACAGTTTGCTCACGGTCTGCCGCCACAAACTTCTCAGACTTTATGTGGGTGGATTTCTGTGACTGCATAAACACAAGCTGGTCGTCTACCATGCGTGTGTATACTAATGGCCTGTATTTACCCGGTACATATTATTAAAATTATCATTAATTCTTTCCGGTAATGACACCAAGGATTCCTAAAAAATGCCTTAAGCACTGTAGCTAACAAGTCTGAAGAAACTGGTAGAAAGGACACAATGAGAAGAATTGACTGGATGTAGTGGTGAGCGAAAAACCCCAGAAAAGTGTTGTAGGTAAAATCCTTGGAATACGCTGGCAACTGAAAACCTAATCCATATGTGGACCCAGCTGGTAACGCCTGTTGCTACATGGCAAAAAGGAAACTTACGATCTGCATCAATGACAACATGGGGCATGACAAGTGTCACATCGTCACAGTTAACAATCTCTGTGCTAGCGATGGAGGATAGGCCGGCCTTGTTGTAGCCTCTGACTGATAGCCGAAGACAGACATCCAGGTCTAACTGTCCACTGTAGAAGGCCATGAAGCGGGCCTTTGGAGTAAGAGACGTGAAGTGGGGTTTGGAACAAGCATGTTGCATTCAAGAACCAGGTTTGCAAGAAACAGACAGTTATCGTCCTGATCTTTTGTACTATGATTCTTGGGCAGATTTTAAAGGTTTTTCTCAAAGTTGGAATCATTAACAAATTGGCCAGTTATCTACCATTCTGCTTTTAAGGAACTGGCCTTTCAGGCATGATTTAAAGAAATGAAACCAATTTAGCCAGTGAATGTATAATGCTCCCTTTAAAGATGGTGCTTCTATATAACATACGTTTCTTAGAATGTACTCTCCATATTTTGTCGTAGTCAAAAATGGCTTTTTTATCTGTCCAAAATATGTAAACTTTTTTCCCATCATTTTCTGCACTTTTTCTGGCTGTTTGTAATTCTTCTAAAGAATCGCAATACTTGCTCATTACTAATCATAATACTTGCTTAAAGAAGCGAAAAAAACAAATACAGACTCACCATTTCTCCAGTAATCGTCAAATCCTGGATTCGTGTCCACTGACTCAGCAGGGCTCTGTCATTACCATCTTCAGCAATGCTCCACTCATAGAAATCCATCAATTCCTGTGGGTTGTCATGAAGGACGTAATCATGCGCAAAAGGCTGGAAGGCCACGTGGATCTCTGTTCTGCCTTGTGTGGACTCAATGTTGCTTACTGTGACCTGACCGACCTCGGGAGGTTCGGACAATACCCAGAATCCATCAGTCATGATGGGCTGGAAGCAAATGCTAACATGGCAAAAGTGAACCTGGAAAATAAAACACAAAATGAACCAAAACAGTTTATCGACCAGCTCTCTCCATCCACACTCAGCTGCAACACTGAAGAGCAGAATTTGAATGGAAATAGAAATAAGCCATTACCTTTGATCTGTAGTGAGCTCCGCCTTCCAACCCTACACCAGCCCCAACATGTTGGAATGCCGTGCCCAGATCTTCATCCTCAAGCAATGTGGTCCACACCACTGTTCGGTTTTCATAACCTGTGAGAGATAGAAAGAACAAGAACCCAACAGAGTTTAATATGAGGTTAATGCAATACGGTTAAGAGGGTTGTGGTCTGGCAAAACACTAACTTCCTTTGGGAGGGACTGCAAGGTAATCAAATCGTTGGACTACTATAAACATGTAAGTATTGCATAGTTTAGGTCACTTCAGTTGAGTTAAAGCCATTGGGACAGCTTATTCGCTACTTTATTTCTATTTTGTAAGAAAACGGCATTCAGAATGTAATGAATTCTTATAAAAGAATTATTTACGAACTAAGAATTTGATTAATTCTGATTAAACATCAAAGTTTTTCATCAGACTTACCTAAGTTAATCTCAATCTCCTGTTCGAACGCCCAGCGGATGTTAGTCACAAAGGGCTGCAGCATCTCAGGGATGGTCCAACGAGCTGAGATGTCGGAGGTGGAGGACTGGTAGGTGATGTCATCCTGACAGGGTTGATCAGCAGCAGATGAGTGATGGGACAACCCTGGAGGAACAGAAGCTGCAAGAGCAAAGCAAGAGACTGTCGGTGAGGAGAGAGCCAGAGTGAGAGGAGGGAATGTTTCCATGAGTTCAGATGTCTGAGGAGGAGGACTGGTAGGTGATGTCATCCTGACAGGGTTGATCAGCAGCAGATGAGTGATGGGACAACCCTGGAGGAACAGACACTGGAAGAAGGAGGCAAGAATCAGTGAATGTGGGGGATGCTAGAGGGGCTGATCTAATGAGATGAGCTGTAGCAAGGGGTGACGTCATTTGCACAGCTTTGCGAAAAAAACATAAAAATGATGGAATACTCCTTGCAGAGTTGGTGCCTCTGAAGCTGTCCACACTGTACAAATCTTTAAAAAACACTTGGAGGCACTGCAAAGGTATGGCGGAGCCTCAGCAATTTTTCGTGAATAAAAATGCTGATAAAACAACACAAGGCGGTGGAAGGACGTAAAACAATACCTTTTTGCCATTGTTCACCAATGGTGTCTAATTTCCTGTTTAATTCAAAATTCTGTACTCCTTGAATTGTTTTCACTGTTTTCTTAACATGTTTGGCTGACATTGTGTTTAATCCTTGAAAACTTCATAGTTTTTTGATGTTTCAAATTTTTTTAATACCAATGTACATGTATATCTATGCTGTTTTTCCTGTTTTAATGTTACCAGTTTCCTTTGTGGAGAAGTACTTATTACGACAGCCTGATTAAGTAGGACAACACATTCCATGGTTCATGTGCATTCACTATACAGGGTGTCTAAGAAAAAGAAAATCAAGATTGGTTAATCTGTTTCATGAATGTGACTAGTTAAAGTGGTAGATATAATCTGTTTCAGTGTGTCTTCTTTCATGTGACAACAAGAAATTCAAATTTCCCTCACACACGACTGAGCATGAAGTGGTTTAATTGATCCTGTCAGAAATGGCTTTGCACCAGATGAATTACAGGTTTGCACAGCATATAAAGCACTAAGAACACTACCAAACTCATTAATTCAAAGACAACCACTGTTAGGGGCTTATTCACACTGAAGCCAAGCCCAGTGTTCTTCAACATGTCCCCCATTTCTTTCAATGATAAGTTCTGCCCTTGTTCTAATCACTTTTAAATGCGTGTCATGTATTTGGAGATTCCAGCAAAGGTTGTGTTATTCTGAAAAAAAAGCCATCTCTGAACAGTACGAATTCAACATCAAAACAGCTATTCGGTGCAAAGCCCTTTCTGACTTGGTCCATTAAACCACTTCGTGCTCAGTCACATGTGACGGAAATTTGGATTTCTTGGTGTCGTGCAAAAGAGGAAGTCAAAATGAAACAGAAAATTGCTACCGTTTACCACAATTTTGGTCACAGTCAAGCATCAAGCGCATTCATCTTCCTTTCCCTTTTTAAGACACCCCGTACAATCATTCTTAGGAAGCATCATAACACTTGGGAACCTTATAGCGCTGGGAAAATAGCTGTTAGAGAGTTGGGGACATTATCTGAGGATGCTAGTATAACAGGTCATGAATGTTACATCAGCATTTTAAATAGAATATTACGCATACATGTTCCGAGTCTAATCGAGATTTTGCAAAGGCAAGCCCTGAACCCTGAATCAATCTGAAGGAAAAAGATGGTGACAAACCAAAGGCCTCACTTTCACCACAGCCAAGCCCATCTTTGATTGTAGCTCCCTCCAATAACTGACCCTCCTGAATGACTTTGAGACCATCTGAGGTAACGGAGACACTGCCAGCTTCAGAGATAGCGCGGACAGTCACGTAATAGGTCTGTTTGAGGAAAGTGAGATAATAAAAATGGCTACACATAAGTACCACAAACTGAATCACATCAAGCAAGCAAAACAGTCTGTGCTTTCCCGACAGCCAAAACTGACAACCATTATTATTTTTATTATTTATTTGGCCAAAACAGTAGACATGACAAGAAAACACAGAACAATTGGTACGGTACAAAACAGATCAGTAATCCCAGATGGGCCAGGGGCAGCAAAAGCAATAAAATTACTGTGATCTGTGGACCTGCTGCCTTACATCTGGTCGTGGATCAGTAAAAGACGTAGATTAACTATTTAAGGTAAAACGTTTGACTATTTAGAATACCGAAGAGATCAAAATGAGATACACACTTCAGGGCATGATACGAACATTAAAAACAGAAACTCATACTTACAAATTACAAAAAAAGGTTATATTAAGAGATATACTGGGCATAGAAATGGTGACATGAATAGAGAACAAAGACAAAACAAGATGGGGAGTCTTCACCAAACAAAGGTTGTCGTGTCCTTAGACACAAGTTCCGCAGGGACTCTTGAGGAATCACAGCCTGCGAGACTGTACTATACTCTTTACTGGAACACTGGAATATACTCTTGGGGAATAAGTCTTGATTCCATTTGCACAGAATTTGGCAAAACTTGGCATTTCCCACAATTACGTTGGGGCAAAACCTGTCTCGAGGGGTTTGATTCCACAAGAGTCCCTGCGGAACTTGTGTCTAAGGACACGGAAACCCATATGAGGGCAAGTTTTGTTTAGTGAAGATGCTCCATCTTTGGCAAATAACAGATTGCTTCTGCAAATAAATAAATGAATAAAACTAAAGTAGGCCTTCAAGTAAAATGGGGCGGGGGTAGCCTGTTCAATTCTCCCCCCCCCGTTTCGCCCATGTGTGGCATGTGCTCAAATGCGCAGCTTGGAGATCAATCTGAGACTGAGTTCAAAAAGTCTATGCTTTCCTTCAAGAAATGCATGTAACCAGGGTCATGTCAAGTTTTGTGCATTTCCCCTATTTACCATGAGTAGAGTAAGATTCAGTCCGTCCAGATGATAGAAAGTTACATTGCCAATACCGATGTAACCACCACTGACATCTGAGATGTCACCTTCCAATCCGACGGCAATCTCGTAGCTGATATCAAGATGGGGATGCTCAAAGCCATACCACCGAGCTGAGATGCTGGTGGTGTCCATCTGCACGTCTATGTCCTGGGCAACCTATCAGGGGGAGACAGGTCAGAACAGCAGAAATCAGCTGGCTGGCTAATTATGGTTTCCCTTTGACTGGAACTATTTGGTTACTACCATTATTGAAGTTAAACAATGAACTGTCTAAAAGCCATTTCTTGCCTCACTTGAGTCAAAATCCAAACAAGATTTGACGTCAAAACATATTTCCAGCAAAATTTGCCACTGTCAAAATGTGTTTATTGTTTGCAGATTTGCCACAAGAATCTTTGTGAAAAATTTTAAATATTCATGATCCTATTCACTTTCGATCAGACTGAGTATGAGCTTTCCTTAATCGTTGATGAGAGTATTGGTTTTTGATTGAGTAATTTATGGAAATAGCTTGATTAGTTTTTTCTATCGGTTTAGGAAAATATCATTTGTACTAGGTAGCTTTGCTTTCAGCGTATATTACCCCAAAGTCCACAGCCACTTCTTCTCCTGGCGGAGCAACATCCAATACAACGCCCAGGGATGGCAACTGCACAATGTGTCTATAAACAGATGAGATCCCCACTGTTGTCAATCCAGCACCATTCTGTGCTCTGACAGACACGTAATATTCATGGTCACCATGGAGATGCCAGTTTAGGTCATCCAATGAGAATGCCGCACAGGATGTTTGGGATGAACACGGACCAATTCTGTAGTATTTTTCTGTCAGGTAAGAAAGGGTCTCCGTGCCACCTGGGCTGCTACCTGCAATGATGCGTGAAAGTAATTTGTGTGAAGAAAGATAAATTCTACTGATTACATTAATGTCAATGTCTTAGTTATTGCAGTATGAGGAAACGTCCAACATCGAAAGAGGGAAAAATTAATCCTTGAAGTTGTGATTTATATGCAATTTTAATCAATGTTGCTAGAGCAACTTTTCTCTCCACTACACTGAACACTTTCTTGAAATGAAAGTCAAAAGGCCCATCAGGCAACCCATTTAAAATGCACACAATCATTAAAGAAAATAATGGCATTTAATAGAGGCAGGTCTGATATAAACTCACCAATGGCAACTTGATATCTCAGGCCTGTATCCTCATCATCAGTGAAGCCGTCGTCTCCCCATTCAGCAACTAAGTACTCACCCTCCACACGGACAGCGACATGCCCAACAAAAATGGGTGGGGTGGTGTCCACTATAACTGGACCGATCCCCTGCACAAACCAAGACAACATCAACACGGAGGACTAGTACCATAGTATACATGGTTATTGATAGTAGTAGACCATATCATTTCTTATTTTAAGTCCAGTATAGTGATCATAACATGTACACACCTTGGTCGTTGATAGCTGGGCCTTGTTCACTGCCGTCAGAATCAGATGTAGAACAGACCCGTGGCTGATATCGGGATGGTACATTACAAAGTGGTCATGACCTGATGTTGATATGCTGGCTACGAAGTCAGGCCTGTGATCTAAGGTGTACCCAATCTGGTAGTCGTAGATGGAGCTCTCGGGATCCTCTCCCATCCAGGAAACATTCACCTGTCATTGACGACACAAAATGCCAATGAAAATGTATGCTGGGGGGATTTCTTCTTACCATTTGTGCAAACTAGGCATCCAAACCATTTAGAACTATCGACACTAAAATGATGTGCACCTTCACCGACGAAAGAAAGATGGACTCATACAAAGTTTTCCAATCCATTCGTCGTGGAAGACCATTCAATCCAGAATAAATTTGTTGTACGTACTGTGTATGCCCCACATTAAATGCGCATAAACAGGTGTGCCTATGCAGCAAGTTTGTACCACAGGACTGTTAATTTCATTTAAAAACACGCCCTCTTTTGTTACCGCTCAGAGCGGATAGTACACGGGCAAAATATATCATTGTTCCCTGTAAGCCAGATCAAGCTATTTACCATGGTGCATCTTATTCTGATGCTACTTCTGAAATAATTGGCTAGGTTTCATATTATCAAACATGTTTATTGGAATAAGTTCAGCTGCTAGCTGGCAACTGGTATATTAATGGCAGCCATAGCCATGACATTTGGATGTGGCTTACCCATCAGTAATTGCCCCAGCTGAAATATAAACTTGAGCATATTTTGTAACAAGTTCTGGAACATCAAGCTATGTGACTAGACCATTTTTTTTTTAGATCTGATCAAAGAAAACATACGTGTTTGTCAGTTGGAAGGAAGAACTTCTCTTCAATGGCTGGGATCCACAGGCAATCCAGGTCTCCACGGAGTATCACTGAGGAGTCATTGGTGCTGACCATCTCAGGATAAACAGACAGATCGTCTACCATAGCAGCCTTGGAACTAGATGCAGAACAAGAGTGACGTGTGAGAAATTATTTGACATTCCTTGGCAGTTCAGGTACACAAGAAAGGAATCAAGTGCACAGGAGCCACCACTGTGGTGTATCTTGCTCAAAGACACAAGCTCAGCAGTCTCCAAATGATTTTCATGAACACCATTCTTAAGCTCTAGTATCGGCAAAATGAGTGTGATAAGAAGGCCTATCATCTTTGGACTCAGGAGCAGCCTACCTGCATCCACTGGATGCATTAAACAGCTCCGTCTTCCTACGGCGCTCATCAATATACCACGTCCGACCCTCAGCATCCTTGGCCAGTCCCGGCCACATCCGAACGTAGCCAATGACGATCTGAGACAACTCAGGAGGGCTCCCATCGATCACGACGCCATCAGAGCAGACAACCTCTGATGGCTCCAGGGCTCGGTTGTACGCAATGACAGTGACGTAGTATCGGCCAGGAGAGGGCGCTGTCCAACTCGCATGAGTGGAAGTAGTCCTTGTCATCTGAAGAGATGGTAACATGAAAAAATTGCCACTAACAGTCCCCCTCACCCCCAACATCATTGTCACAAAAGAATTGTGCTCACTGCTTAACTAACTGAGCGATACATAAGCTTAACTTATTAGCAATGTGAAATTTTATCAACAATTTGAAAGCTTCAAACTGGCCATTCATCAATATGTGAAAAAGACAATTTCACTCAGTCAGGCCTTCACACAAGGAAAATCCAGGTCCATTTACAACTTACCTCATCTCTGACTCTTCCAATTGCGGCCTCATGCATCCAGCAAGATGTGGCAAACAGATACTGGTAAAACTTGACGCCACTTTCCTTGTCAAAGAACCCTTCCCAGTGAGCCGAGAGGTCACTGCCTTCCTGAAAGTCCACCTCATTGGATCCACGTATCCCATCATGCACCACACCGGCTTGGGGAGCGGATGTGTCCACTGTTACCTGCGAGTCGGACAAAGTTATAAATGATGTGCAGAGTCAAATTATTTATACATAGACAGTCTGCATTAATGCACCAGCTACTTACTGCCGTGATTGATGCATCGGGTCAGATTGACCAAGCCAAACCAACCTGAAAACGAATATCAGCTCCCCTAAAACCAAACACAACCACAACCCATGAAAAGTTGAAGTAAAACCGACAAGAACAGACCTAAAATCAAACATGCTCCCTCTGTAAAAACAAAAATATCTAGATCGACCAGAGAAAAGTTTTTTGTTTGGGGGGGGAGTTTTAGCCAAACTTATACACATTGCATAAATTCTTCTGGAATAATTATCGAGAGAGCAGAAAAGTGTTAAAACGTATTTCTTTCAAAGTCCTGGTTGGAGTGTAGAAATGAGTAGAGCAGGGGAAAACTCTTCGTTATACCAGGCATTGTGACTCTGCAGTCTGTGGTAATATGAACCATTTGAATTTTCACACTGTTGCATGTTTTTTTTTACACTTATTGGGTTTTTTACCACGACGGCTTTTCCTAACCGATCCGACCTGAGAATTGCAAATGCAAACTGACACGAACTCACCCCAACTAAAATGGTAAGAAATCTCAATAGTCCAAAGTTGCTTTTGGGTCTAATCTGCACATACCCGGATTGTTTGAGTTGTTACCAGTCTGGCATGGTTGGTAACCGTCAGAGTGATGAAGTAATCAGTGTCATGGGCACCAATGTGGAAAGTTGGATTAAATCCGTAGTCTGCGGCATAACAGTCACCAATCGGGACACACATACAGCTAACTGGATCACAGTCCGTGTCCTAAAATTGCAAAATATGCACTATGTTAATGTAATGCGCTGCAAATCTCTATGAATAATTATCTTAAGCAGAGGACATGACAAAATTAAAGGGAAATGTTCAGAAATTGTCCTTTTCATTGTTTAACTCTGTTTCACTTATATTTTTTCCAACTGAATTGCACACTTGATGTGCTTTCCCTGAAAACGAGCAAAGTTGTTATAAGGTCTTTCAAAACACTGCATTGATGAACTTATGACAAAAAAATGAATTTGGCAGGAATGTTATTTTTTGAGGCACTAGGTTTCAAGCCGAGTAAAATATTCAAAGTCTGTCTTGCCGCACATACCGCATTGATTCTCCTGGCAGGAATTGTCTGGCTTCCATACTCTGTCTCTGTGACGGGGTCCCAGAGACGCCAGTGGATAGTTCTGACTCCGCTGTGAATGTCGTATGTCCTAAATGCAACACTGTGGGGGGGGGAAGGAAAAGTCTTTACGTTCCATTTGACTCATCCAGAAAATAATAAGTTTCAATTTCTGAGCTGCACTGGAGATCTGTAATTTCACTGGATAGTCAGTTGTATTTCCCACTTTGCGCATCAGTTGGGTTCACAATTAAAGTGTTAAAGAATGTCAGAAATATTTGTCATTTACATCCGTTTGGCTTCTGCAGGTTGAAAAACAAAGCCAGATACCCTTTTCAGCTACTATTTTTCCATTCCAAGGGTCACATCAGATTACATGTCAGGTGAGATTTAAATGAGCTGAGAAGTTTGCCAACTTGGGATTTGAACCTGAAACCTCTGGACAGTGCCATTCAAGCATTCTTACTATTCGGCTTTTCCAGAAAAAGCTCTTCCTCCCTTCTCCCACAAACAAATTTTGATGCAGAAAGTACACAAACAAGGACAAAAACACTCTAAATAGAACGATCAACAACAAACAAACTGAGCCAGAAGATACCTTTTGACTTACATGTACACCTAGTGTTTCATTCGAGTCCATCACAAGTCCTTTAACAAGTCCCTTCACAAAGCCAGTCACAACTCCCTTCCAAAGGCCAGTCACAGGTCCCTTCCCAAGGTCAGTCACAAGTTCCCTCACAAGGCCAGTCACGAGTCCCTTCCCAAGGCCAGTCACAAGTCCCTTCCCAAGACCAGTAACAAGTCCCTTCCCAAGGCCAGTCACAAGTCCCTTCACAAGGCCAGTCACAAGTC